AGAAGAGAAAATTCTCTCTCTGAGGTTCTGCACTCGATTGTGTCGTTACCTGCTGGCGTCTTTGCTGGGAATGATCTGGATACATTCCCTCTTCTGGAAGGTTCTGTCGATCCAAGCTCTCTGGATCTGAAAATATGTGATTACGAAGAAACATGAGGATGACTCTGCTTCTCCTTCTTCACAGTAACAAAGTAACAGGTTAACTGTCATCAAGAAAAACATGAAACCGAATGTCCGAGAAACACCTGCTTCCTTTCATCTTCAAAGGAACTTTAATTATTCATTTATCAAATTAAACTTCACTCATCGAACACAGTGATGTTTTTAATTTAAAGACTATATTTTTCCAACTCTACTGATAAATTCACATCATCTGCACAAAGAAGGTAACAAAAGGCACAGAGACGGAATCATTGTTTTGTCAGTTTGATCATAGAAAATGATTTATTCCACTTTTCCTGCTGTTAATAATAAATAAATAAATAACTATTTGGTGGTGTATCCTAAGGTGGATATTATGGATTAAATATGTCTCACATCAGCAAGATTACAAGATAAACTTAGTCGTGGATCAGAGTAAGTTTTTATAATAAAAACAAAAACTTTATTCAGTCACTAATATAGAAAACTATAAACAGGAAGTCAGCTGAGCGTGTCGGTGCTCTCTGTGGTTCATTCTTGTTCCTGTGTTCAGCTGCAGAATGACTCAAATGAAACACCAAACTGCTCATGTCTGAATATATCTGGCTAATTTCTGGGAGAGTGGAGCTTTCCATTTCTTTATGCACCCAATCCTCTTACCCTCCGTCCTAATCCTGGAGCTGCACAGAAAAACACACGGAACTCCCCTTTAAAGCTCTATTTCCTGTGTGTTTAAATCCAAACAGCACCAATGACTGGTTGTTATTGTGTGTCTGCACTTTGTAAAATTCCTGCACTCTGGATGATGGAGGATTAACGTCCGAACGGCACATGAGCCTCAGCGTCATTGTCTATTTCACGTGAGCGATAACCCTCCACCATCATCATCATCATTATCTTTCCCTCCCCATCCTCCTGACAGCTGAGGAAGAAGAGGAAGAGAATCAGGTAAATTCAGTGATTCATCAGGCAGCAAACGTTCTGTAGAGAAGGAAACCAAAGTTACTGTTCTGGGTTTAACTTTAAACGAAACAAAGACGTGTCAGAGGAAATACTTCAGATGTGAAGAAGTCACAAATAAAGGGCATGATTTTCACATCAGGATGTGTGTGAGAATTCAAATGTAGCCCTCAGTACAAATCCGTCTGATAACCAGTAAGGCCAACATTAGAAATTAGAAAATAACTTTGTAATGTATGCTGCTTTATGTATGCTTGAGCCAGGCAGTGCCCACACCTGCAGCAAACTGAGTGTTTCCAGTAGTAAAAATGCTTCTCAGAGAGCTCCATGTGGGAAAAGTTGACTTTGTTCCCATCAGGATTCTCCCCAAATTGTCCAGAGTTTCCTGTGTGACAACAGCTAGAGGGAGAAATGTTTAAATGAAAGTGGGTGAGCCATTGCCTCTAGCTAGGATTCTGCAGTTGTTTCAGCCTGCAGAATAAAAACCCAGGAACGGAACCAATCCCAAAAAGTTCTGTTCATTTGGACGTAATGATTCAGTGGGAGAAACGTTTCCTCACTTATCCAAGTGTCAGCTGACTGCAGGTTTCCCCAACCTTATAAACAGTACCTTTGCACAATGACTGAAGCCAGCACCACTAACGATGGACTGCAACTGATTCGTGACAACTGTCTGATTTTGTTTTTTCAAACCCAGAAAGCAGCTCGAAATTATCTAGTGGCAATGAAGGATGTCAACCTCAAGAATAGCCAAATTATATGGTGGACAAAATCTTGCTTCTTGTTCGTTTCTCTTCAGTTTTTTCAGTGTGTCGAGGTCGTAAACACATTGACAGGGATAAACCTAAAAAAGTACTTTTTAGACATTTTTTTTTAAATTAATCTTTGAACAGATAAAATAGATTTGTTGTAGATTCGCTCTATTTCTATCCACTATGAATATCATTCTTACAGAATCTTTCAGAAACCAACAAACCTCTCAGATGCTTCATGTTCAGATCGGGCGAAGAAGAGTCAGAAGTCTGTGTGGACACCAGCAGCAGCCTGCACATCTACTCCAACGTCCAAACATCTCACTCAGTGCTAAACCTGAAGTGAACTGCAGACCCAGCAGCTCTGTGAGCTCCCACTGGCTTCCAGCTCCGCGAGGACCCTGTGAGGACTGGGTCTGGGTGCAGCTCAGCAGATAAGAAAGGAGTTGACTTTATGCAGCTGAGCAAGTTCATGTGACAAGCATGTGAGGCAGCAGGGCTCTTTGTTCGACCTGGTCTCATGACTCCAGGCCGAGGTAATCCTTCTGGGAGTCTCATGACCCATCAAGCTTCAACACAAGAGCATTTTCATGAGCTGCTGGGACCAGACTCAATAAATCTGCTTTTAAAAATCCCCCAAAAACATAACCGCCCAAAACCTCCCCAACCCTGATCCTCCATGTGCTCAGCTTTAAACGGAAACCTGTTGAACCTGCTCCCCCTCAAGATTTCGGTTTGTCTTCATGGAAACTGAGTCCATCTTCTTTGGTTTGAATCGTTTTGCTTCTTTACTCCAGTTTGTACATTTGGTTGCTTTTCCACCGCATCTCAGAGAGGAATTCTGTGCTCTTTTCTTCACTACGGTCACCTCCACACAGGAGTTTAGAAATGCAGAGCCCACTTTAATTCAGGACGGCCTCACCTGTGGACCAACCAGACTTTCTAACATTTTATCATGGCACGAAAAGCACCGCTGATATAACTGCATCTGGATTCTGGGAAACACTCGTGAAAACAAAGTTTGCCTGCACAACAGACCGAACACACATTCAGTTCATATGACAGTTTAATCGATCAGAACATGTACTTTTACTTCTGATACTGTAAATAATACTGATGGACCTCTTCACAGGGATTTTTATTGCAGTACTTATACTTCAAAATTTAGTAGAGTATTTGTACCGTTCTTCTGTGCAATAATATTCTGCTAAAGTACTTTTAAAGTGAATAAAATAAAATCAAGGAGTGTTTTCTCAACGAAAACAGAAAAAAGGAAGGACTCAGCAACAATGCACAGGGTGTGTGAGAGAGGCCTGGAGATTTGGATTATCAGGGGTTTAAATGAGATTAATGCTGTTCAGAGGAACTACTTGTTTGCATAATGAGCTGTTGTATTATGCTCTATTTTATTTCATTCAGAGACAGGAAGTGGACCGCAGCTCTGAACCAATCAGAGAATAACAAGGTAGGAATAAACAGCAAATCTCTTCAGTCGGCACAACAGCAGCACAATGCATTGATGGGGAGGAATCAGCAAAAATCAAACACTTATTCTTTGTTTTTGAACAGATTTAGTGCATGTCACATATGTAGTACCAACACCAGTTGGGGTTGTACAACAATCCCTGGTGGTCTCTAGTTTGCACGTGTGTTTCCATGTGAACTGGAGCCTATTTCAATTTATTTCTATAAATATTGTATGAAAACATATTAAAGATATATACTGATGATAATTCGTTCAACGGTGAAAGCAATATTTAGGAAACTGATAAACCTGTGCCAGAAGTAAATGTGTAAAGTTCTTCTTTTGGACTTGCATCAACACTTAACTGAGGTTCATCGGGGCAGTTGTTACACAATCTTTCTGACAGACACACAAACAGCAACAAAAATATTTCTGTAATATCTCAAAAAGTAGCATCAAAAAGCTAAAATAAAAACCTCAATGAAAAAATGCTGGAAGAATTTAAAAAGAAAAGAAAAGAAAAATCAAGCATTTGTGCCAAAAAAACAAAAACAAAAACAAACCTGCAGTTCCCACGATCGCCACGGGCTTCCGTTTTTTTAAAATGTCCAACTTTACAGCAGAAATTTAAAAAATAATGTTTACAGCCTGCGATGTGAAACAGTTTTGGGTTCTCTTTATATAATACCTACTTCGTATTTCAGTTGCATTAAGGCTCAAAATTGGCATTATTAAGTCTGAGCTGGATGCTTATAAAGGTGGTTTTAGCTGAAATGTTTAACTGGTTACCACCAATTAGATTTACTGAATTGGGTCACATGCAGGTTTACTATGATGATGCCTTTTGAAAGTTTTCATACAATTATGAATCCATTTTATTAATTTTATCAAACTCATTTTATATATGAGTATAATCTGTGATAAATATCAATATCAAAACTTCTTTGCTCCAGTTTGGGAGAAGGATATTCTAGGATTTTTTTCTAATTTAATTATGTTGTTCTATGAATGAATGTTCTTTCTGCCTTTCTGGCACTTTATCTTACAAAAGGCTTTGTGCAATCCTTTTCTTCCTATAGGAAAAGTGCCTGTCTTAGTTTTTATAAACAAGTATAACCCTCGATGACATTCAGTCAATTTAATTTGTTCCTTTTCTTCATAACTTCTAAAAACGTTTCACAATATGAAACGTTTTTTCCCATTTTTTTCATTCGTCAAATTAACGGGAAACTGATTAACTGAGGAGATACAGGTGAAGCCTGCGTCTGACAGAAAGGATCTGGTTCGAGTGTTAAGACGAGCGTGTTACTCATCTGTGCGACGTTGGCGTCTCTGTTTTATTAATTAGACCCTTTGCTGTTCGCACTTTAATGTGTCTGATTTCACAGTCACATGTTTTCCAGGGAAAATAAACAGATGATTGTGTTCATTGAGCAAAATCACATGAAGCCAATGAACCGTGAAGTGAGCGGGCCACATGATCTGAGGAGGAAGAGGAGGGGAGAAGGGCATGAGTAGGTCACATGGTCTGAGAGAAGGTGCTGCTGCTTCCTCCCTGAACCTAAAAACAAAAATCTGATTTCTTTGTTTTGTTCAGATATTTGTCTTTTTAATGCTACTAAATGTGAAGTTGCAGTAGCACTTTATTTAAACCAGTTTAACTGTCCTCTAACTGACCTCCAAACCCAGCTTCCTGTTCTGACCCGGGGGGGGGGCCTTGCACTGTTACAACCCTCGGTCATAAAAGAGTGCAAAGAGTGATTTCTGTGTTCATGCTGTTGTTGATTGGCTGTCTCCCTGTGGATTCAGTGTCTGCAGATAATTTTCTGTGGAGTTTTTCAAACATTTCTCAGAACAAAACCTCGGAGTCAGATGGAGGCGGTGGTGGTGATGATGATCAGAACAAAGATAAAGACGACAAATAAGAAAAAGTAAGACTGAAAGAAAAAATGATTAAATCAGCACAATAGCACCAGTGAGAGAAAACCACAAACAAGGACCAAACCAGCACGAGGAGGCCTTCAGATATTCAGTGAGTGTTTTCAGAACTGCAAATGAGTTTCAGAATGTTTGCTGAAAAACACTGACACCAAAAAAAGTCCAGAAAAAAATCAAACAGGCTTCACAGAGTTCATCTTAACATCTTAACTGAGAGACCAGGAAACGTTTCTCCAAGAGCTCACTCTGGTTCACACCCACCGGCTAATTTTAACTTACACTCAAAACATCTGTAAGAGGCAGCATTATGCTAAACAATCTCAAGGGGAATGATTGCAGGATATTAGAGTTAAGGTAAGTCTGAGGTGCAGGGGTGGAGCCAAATAGTGGCCAGGTGGGTCCAGTGACAGAACAGAAGTCTTGCAGCATGCATGCATCTGATAGAAGGCTGTGCATGTGTACAGCTGATGTTACCTGCAGTGACTACTAAAGAGCTTTTTCTCTTAATGCTTGTTTAACCACCTGCTTTAATTGCAGTTATGGATGAGCTTCTTTAACAGTTCAAAAAGAGGAACTATAGGTAACATTTCAGGAACTTTTTGACCATTTGATGCTGTAAGTAACGATCTCATCCTGGCCACCGCAGTAAATATTGTCACCTTCCCAGGTGAGTTTTCCATCCTACCTTCTGTGATGCAGAGGACGCGCTGCGTTTTATGGATGAGCGTTTGAAAGAGCCATCAGTTCCTCTCCTCCCTCTGCTGTCCATGTTGGTAAAGTTTAGCTTTCCTCCACCTTCATCGTCCCATCTCCCCTTCTGTACGCGTGTCCTCTGTCTCTTCTCTGTCTCCCGTGTCCTCCTGTTGTCGTCGCAATCCCGTCCTCAGTCTGTGATGCGTTCATCTCTGGGTGGGGTGTGGTGGGTGGAGACCCCATCCTGTCTCTCCATGTGTAATCAGGATTAGTGGATGCTACAGACGGCCAAGGGTGGTGCTCTACGAGGGATGCAGATTTAATAAATGATGATTGGAGGTAAATCTACTTTAAACCTTGCCTAACTCAGTGCAGACAGGATAAAGTTCTGTCTTTTATTCTTTCATAAAACTGAAGTACCACTCCAACATATTTGGATGTGCAGCTCCACCTCAGCACTTTCACTGCTGTGAAATTTTAAATGAGAGTGAGTTGGGTCAGATTCCCCACTGCTGTTTGCATTGATAGCATTAATGAGAGGTAAAGGCTCCATCTGCAGGTTGACTTGAACATGACAAAAACATATCAGTTGCTCCAATTAATCATTTTTCTGCAGCATAAGGCAGGATCAGGTGACCCTGCAAGAGGCTCAGACTGCAGGAGGACTTCCCATGATGCACTGAGAACTTCTTCTCCACGTGCCTTAAGTGCTGCTTTCTCCCATACTATTTGCCTATACGCTGTTTTTCTTCTCTGTCCTCTCACGCCCCAACCATTTGCGGCAGTTCGCGCAAGCATCGTTCTGCAGAAGGTCTCTTCCTGTTTTAAAGGTGTTCTTCCTTCACACAGTCAACAAGTGCTTAACAAATTAGGACTAAAAATAAAACAAAACATTAAAACATATTTAATAAAACTTCTATAAAATAG